CGGCAAGGGTTAAGTGCTTATTTTGGTCTAGGGCCCTCTGATCCTCAAATCTGATAGAACTGTATGTGATGACATCAGTGGGACTTAGACGGAAGTAGAAGCCGCATGGACCGGTCTAGCAGCCAGTCGGGGGGCTTTGGATCACGTGACTATATCTCCTAAAACAAGCACCTAACCCTCTGTGAATCTATCGCCCAAATATCTCACCTTCCGGATATGACTTCCGGGGCGGCATAATTTGGAGAGCCGCAGCTGGTCCGAAGAAACTCTCCGTCTGACATCATGTTAGACAGACCTGAAAGAAACCAGAAAACAAATCATTAAAAGGTCAGAAGAACGGAAAAGGAAAACGTTTTATTTAAAAATGTCATTATCATGTTAATGAGTGGGAAGATTCGGTTCCCTCATTGGGTGGAGCGGTGCACCAATCGGTGATGATCTGTATCCATATTAATATACACTATATTACCAAAAGTATTGGGCTCCTCCCCCTCCATATCATTGGATTCAGTTGTTTCGTGACATTTCCCGGCTACTAAATATTCCGCGGTCACCTGTTACTGGTATTATAACAAAGTGGAAGCAACTGGGAACAACAGCAACTCAGCCAGGAAGTGGTCGGCCACGTCACATGACAGAGCGGGGTCAGCGCATGCTGAAGTGCGCAGAAGTCGCCAACTGTCTGCAGAGACAATAGCTACAGACCTCCAAACTCCATGTGGCCTTCAGATTGGCACAACAACAGTGCGTAGAGAGCTCCATGGAATGGGTTTCCATGGCCGAGCAGCTGCATCCAAGCCGCACATCACCAAGTGCAATGCAAAGCGTGGGATGCCGTGGTGTAAAGCGCGCCGCCACTGGACTCTAGAGAAATGGCGGCGTGTTCTCTGGAGGGACCAATTACGCTTCTCCTTCTGGCAATCCGATGGGCGTGTCTGGGTTTGGTGGTTGCCAGGGGAACGGTACTTGCCTGACTGCATTGTGCCAAGTGTAAAGTTTGGTGGAGGGGGGGGATTATGGGGGGGGTTGTTTTTCGGGGGTTGGGCTTGGCCCCTTAGTTCCAGTGAAGGGAACTCTTAAGGCATCAGCACACCAAGACATTTTGGACAATTTCATGCTCCCAACTTTGTGGGAGGATTTTGGGGACGGCCCCTTCCTGTTCCAACATGACTGCGCACCGGTGCACAAAGCAAGGTCCGTAAAGACATGGATGGGGGAGTTTGGGGGAGGAGGAACGTGACTGGCCGCACAGAGTCCTGACCTCAACCCCATAGAACACCTTTGGGATGAATTAGAGCGGAGACCGCGAGCCCCTCCCCCAACATCAGTACCTGACCTCACAAATGGTCCAACATTCCCATAGACACACCCCTAAACCTTGTGGACGCCTTCCCAGAAGAGGCGGAGCCGTTATAGCGGCAAAGGGCGGAGCCAACCCAATACTGAACCCTACAGACTGAGACTGGGATGCCATTAGAGTTCATGTGCGTGTAAAGGCGTCCCGATACTTTTGGCAATACAATGTATAATAACTCCTGATTGGTTGCTGGGAGGGGGGGGCGGGGAGACATTTTGCAGGCTTTCTATCTCCTTGTCTGCTGCAGAGCATTGTGAATGTCGCTCGGCAGGCTCAGGCACGCGGCATTCTGGGAAGGATCTGCACGCCGGCGACCTTCAGCAAAGAACGACCTTGTGCTTGGCTGAGTTCCTGGACCGCCGGCCGAGTCACATACCAAAGTCAGCGATCTTGGCGTTCATTTGCGCGTCCAGCAGGACGTTCTCAGGCTTCAGGTCCCGGTGAACCACCATGTGCCGGTGGCAGTAATCCACGGCCGACAGGATCTGCTGGAACAGGCGACAGGC